TTCAGCAGTGCCCTGGGCTGGCCCAGCCACCGCTCCAGCCCCACAGAGGTGGGCTGCACTGGGGCGGCCCTATACCCCTTGAACCATGTGGTAAAGCCCCTCTGTTTGGGGTCTTTTCAAATAGGGGGTCCAGGCAAACTGCCCCGTTTTCCCCTCCCCCCCATGGTGCTGCAGACTCGTGTTCGGCACGAGGCAGCCATGCCCCATTGAAAACGGGACCTTCACCCAGTGCCCCGGCATCAAGATCTAACGACCTTTCATTTCTGAGCCCGTCTCCAAGGAGCTAAACGAGGCTCAGGACGGGTTTCAGCCCAGGCCGAACAGGGGAAAGACACAATCTACCAGAGCGTCTCGTTTTATTCAGTACAATCTATTTAAAGCCCCCCCCCCCAGGCATGGCCCTCCGCTGCTCTGATGAGACGCATGTCTACAGCTGAACGGGTGCTCGGCCGCCTGGATCGGCGCGGGGGGGAGGGACTGGCCAGGCCAGTCAGGGAAGCCAAAGAGAGGAATGCATTACGCAGGGGTCTTGTGCCTCTCCTTCCCCTCGTCCTGAAACCGCCCACTGGGCGCTTGGCCTGACCCACCGAGGGGCGGCTGCTCTGGAAGGATTTATGTTGCGGTTCCAAGACCTGGTGCATTTCTGTTCCCTGTCTCACACTCCCCGCCCCCCCAGGCTCCCCCGAGCCCTCTTTCGTTCCTCTGACGCTGCAGCGTCGGGTACGCACAATGGCCGTTGTGTAGCCGGGGGGACATTCGTCCCTCTGCAGAAGGCCAATGCAAAGTCTGTGCTCCGTGAAGGTCCATGCGTGAAGCCCCTGCTAACAGGAGGAGCCTTTCGGCTGAGGTCGGTGGGATTCGAATTCGGCCCTCCCGGTGCGTCGGGGTTCACTTACCGACACGCTCTCCGGCTCACATTTCCCCTTGTGTTTTCTGACAACGGCTTCCTGATGCTCGCTGGAAGAGGGAGAAAGGGGTGTCAGGAGCCTTCGCGAGATCCTCTGCCTGGCATGACGAACCAAACTCCCACGTTCTGGGAGGGCTACCGGCAGGCTCTGATGCGATTAGCATAACCCGGCAGGACCTGCTCTCAGAAACGCCAGGCCTCCGTCTGGCGACTCCTCAGGACTCACACTGCCGTGTTCCTCCCGCCAGTCCCACGCCACTGCGCCCCTGCCACACGCGGGCGCCGAAATCTGGCTCTTGGACCATCCCCCGCTAAGCACGTAGAGGGGCCAGGGAGGAACGTCAGGGCAGACTGGCGGGACCAGGGGCTTAGTGACTCTCAGAAATAGGCCTAGGAAGCATTACGAAGGCAGCGCCAGTGGCTCTGGTCAGTGCTCGGAGGGAACGGTGGTGGCGGGTACTCACAGGTTGTGGGCGCACATCATGCATTCGTTGGAGTAAGTGACGCCGTCGGAGCCACACACCTCATCCAGGATCCGAGGGCAGGGCATCACGACTGTGCCATCCTTCGCCGTAATCGTTCTGTACCCACTGCAGTCAGACTGTAACGGCAACGCAGTAACAGGGCGCATGCCGCCTTTGTTAGCCAGCCCCGTGCTGCTGGCCGGCCTCCCCACGCTGCGCCGCCAGCCCTTGTGGGACCCCCACATCTCCCAGGGGTCCTGGCTAGTGGCACCGAGACCGGGGGAGACTAGCGAGTCTGCTCTGCAGCCTTAGCTGAGAGCCAGCTGGCTTTCAGCCTGTGCGCAAAGCCCCCAGGTTCAATTCCACCTGTGGGCGTTACACACATGCCGCTTGTCTCAGGGAAACTGAAGACTGAATTTTTATCAGGCTGACTGGGCAGAAATGGAGCCTCTGAATCCCAGAGTTTTACCTTCTCAAGTCTCTAGCCCTGGGATGCTTTTGTGTCTTGCGGGCCCAAACTATTTCCACTGGTTTAGAGCTAGTCCAACACTCCAACGAGTTTAACCAACTAGCATGCCTGCTTGTGGCTCACGTTCTGAAATTATTTCTGAGTCTGGGGACGGCAGTGAGGGTGTTTTGAACGCCCTGCTGGGGGTCAGAAAATGGGCTGTGTTCCAGCCTCCACAACGTGTCATCTTGGAAAATCCCAGTCTCCAAAGGAGCCAATGCACTGATAAATCCAGGAACCCTGAGTCTCCCCTCCTAAACCCTACGTCAGGATGCTCAGGGCTTGTCCTGAGACTGAGCTGGGGGAACAGGACTTCCTGAAGCACTGGGATATTTCTGCTCCTTCTTTCATGCCCTGTTCCTCTTTGCCGGCGCTCTCTAGAATGTGATCGCTGGCAAATGGCCGTTTTGCACAGCTGGGCTGAAGATCTGCCCTAGGAAAAGGGACAGCATGTGGTCTAGGTACCACGTAGGACCATGTGTTTGGTGCCCGAATCGTCTCCCGCTGACTGCGCTCCAAAGCTGTCTTTCCACTGACATCGCTTGGCGAAGGATCGGGCCCCTCCTGTGCCCCAGTGACACTTACCGGCTCATCTGCCTGCTTGCATTTCCCATCGTGCTTTTTGCCCACACTGGTCCGATGCTCCCTGGAAGAGGGAGATGGGGGTTAAGGAGCTCGGGAAGCAACTCTCCACGTGATACTCGAGGGGCTGGTACTGTGTGGGATGGGGCGGGGCTCATGTGCGCAGGGCAGTATCAGCACCGCTGACCAGCATCGTCCCGCAGACCAGGCGGGGGAGAGACCTGCTCTCCAGCTGCATGGAGCCAGGGCCGGCTTTAGGCCGATTCGACCGATTCCCCCAAATCGGGCCCCGCGCCTAAGAGAGCCCCGCGCCCTAGAGCCAGAAGTGTGCTGGGCGAGCTGTGGGAGGGGGCGTCGGCCTGGAGGAGGAGCGCGACAGCTTCCCTGCACCGCAGGAGGGGTGAGTCAAGTGCAGGGGAAGGAGGGACATGACTCTGCCCTGTCGCTGGGGATTTAAAGGAGGACTGTGATTTTTTTTTATTTTTTATTTTTTTGCTCAACAAAAAATCCTGGCTGTTCAAATTGGGCCCCGCAGTTCCTAAAGCCGGCCCTGCGTGGAGCTGCGCTGCAGAAGTTCTCTGTGCGGCCCCAAAGCCTGTCTCTCTCCCCAGAGAAGTTAGTCCGGGAGAAGACAGGGCCTCACCCTTTCTCTCGACTGCCCGGCAGCCAGTCACCACACTGTGCAGCATCCTTCCTCGAGTTCCCAGGCGTGACAGCGCCCTACGGTGCACCACTTAGAGCAGCGGCTCTCAGCGTTTCGGCCCGCAGCCCACCCTGCTCAATGCAGACCTTTCCACGGACCCCCATGATGGCAAAATGGGTGCAGATGGGGGTGCAGGGTCTGGCTGGGAGGTTGGATGCAGGCCCCGGCTTGGGGGGGGTCTGGGAGGGAGGGAGGGTGCAGGAGCAGGAGGGGGTGCATGAGGGTGATGGGATGCAGGGTCTGGGTATGAAGGAGATGGGGGGCATTTACCAGGCTCTGTGCCTTCTGCTGCTCCCATTGGCTGCGATTCTGACCAATGGGAGCAGTGGGGAAAGCCTCCAGGTGAGAGGTTTTCCTTGCAGCTGTTCCCCTAGCTGGCGGGAGGGGAGGGGGAGGGGCAGTGCACAGAGCCGCTTGCTCCTCCCACAAGCTAGTTCCAGCCCGCAGGGCTCACCTCCCCCAGCGGGAAGCCGGCGCTGGTGCTCCAACCTCACGAGGGGGCGGGGGCGGGGGGTCACAGGGCTGAAGTGCCAGAGCAGGCTCCCAGCTGCAGGAGAAGTGAGCTCCGAGCTGTGGCCCGTGTGCAAGACGGACACGGCTCACTAGTGATCCTCGGACCCCACTGTGAGAATCACTGATTTGGAGTGACACCGTGACCCGTCCTGCTCTGAGCCCCGTCACCTCACCGCTCCCTTGGGACGCTGTTGCCTGGCCCGTCCCTGCGCGCCCGGCTCAGCACTCATCCCGGGAGCATAGGGAGGTCTGGCAGGGCAGAAAGTAGGGCCAGGGCCTCTGAGCTCTGCAGGCTGCTGGTATTCCCAAAGGCTGTCATCAGACACTATCGATTGCTAGTGACGTGGGAGGCATGTTCTCTGAGCAGGACTTACGCGTTGTGAGCGCACAGCGCACACTCGCTGGGGTACGTGATGCCGTCTGCGCCGCAGACCTCAGCCAGGATAAACGGACAGGCGGTCAGGACTTGGCCATCCTCAGCAGTGCCCGAGGGGTACTTACTACAGTCCACCTGTGAGAGCAATGCCAAGCAATGGGCGTGATGCGGCCGTTCAAGTGCGACATGGTGCCCCTGAGTCATCTGCCTGTTCTGCGACTCCGGCCTTTCTAATGTCTGCCCTAAGGCAAAGTCCGGTTATATTTACCCTGATTCGTCCTCCCCCAATGGGCTGAGCCTGCTCTAAGGTCGTTTTCTGGAGGGGGAATACACCGAAGCATTAATTCTCTGTGTGCTGGGCGAAGCAACCACGCCCCTCTGAGACCAGCGAGCTGGTACAAATCCAGCGCTAAGCCGAAGCTTCAGAATCAAATACGTTTTTGAAACATGCTTTCCAGAGGGTTCTCTGAGGGGAGAAGTTTGGTTCGGCACATGCAGTCAATGCATTTAATATAAAGAAAACCCTTCGGCTAGATTCCCAGCTTATGTAACTCAAAGTCACCGACATTGATTGACTGACGATCTGGTCCCCTATTGTGTTTTTGGTCCAGTTTCTCCGATGCTAGGTCTACGCGCTGTTCTAAGGACCTCTCAAGGTCCAAGCAGAGGTTGTCTCAGGTCAAATAATAATAACAAACACAATTCCACTGTTTGGAAACAGAATATCTGAAGGTCAAGGTTTTACTCTTCAGATATAAAGCGCTGCGATAACTTTGCAGGCAGATGACTATTGAATTATTCTCCCAGCTACAGAATTGGTTGAGTACAAATAGCCCTTCTGGGACTAAATATTGTGTCTATTGCTTATATTCATCACGTTGTTTGTTGAACAGATAGTTCAGGTCTAGGATTGTCTGGCTATGACAAAAATATTTGTTGAAATGATCTGATAAGAACATAAGAATGCCCAGTCTGGGTCAGACCAAAGATCCATCTAGCCCCCAGTCCTGTCTTCTGATAGTGGCCAATGCCAAGTGCCCCACAGGAAGTGAACAGAACAGGTAATAATCAAGTGATCCCTCTCCTGCCATCTGACAAACAGGCTAGGGACACCATTCTTACCCATCCTGGCTGCCATTGATGGACCTAACCTCCATGAATTTATCTAGCTCTTTTTTGAACCCTGTTATATTCCTGGTCTTCACAACATCCTCTAGCAAGGAGTTCCACAGGTTGACTGTGTGCTGTGTGAAGAAAAACTTCTTTTTGTTTGTTTTAAACCTGCTACCTATTAATTTCATTGGGTGACCCCTAGTTCTTATGTTATGGGAACAATGAAATAACTTTTCCTTATTCGCTTTCTCCACACCAGTCATGATTTTATAGACCTCTGTCCTATCCCCCCTAAGGCTATGTCTAGACTGAAGGCTTCTTTTAGAAGAAGCTTTTCCTGAAGAGATGTTCTGGAAAAACGTCTTCCAAAAGAGAGCTTCCACACTGCAAAAGCACATTGAGGAAGCGGTCTGCTTTTTCGAAAGAGAGCGTCCACACTGAATGCACACTATCTCACATGTCAGCTGTGATTACTATGGCCACCAGGGCACCTGTGCTTTTCCCTCTTTGCTCTTCTTTCAAAAGAACTCCCTCTTCCCCATCCACACGCGCCTTTTTCCGAAAGAGTTCTTTCAGAAAAAGACTTCTTCCTCGTAGAATGAGGTTTACCAATGTCGGGAAAAAACCCTCTGTTCTTTCGATTTCCTTTTGGAAGAACGCGATTGCAGTGTGAATGTAATTGAAGTTTTTTCAGAAAAACGGCCGTTTTCCCGAGAAAGCTCTGTAGTGCAGACATACCCTTAGTCTCTTCTTTTTCTAAGCTGACCAGCCTCAGTCTTTTTAATCTCTTTTCGCATGGCAGCCGTTCCAAACCTCTCATCGTTTTCTGCAAAAATCCCCCAGTAATGGTTTGGTGACTATTCTACAAAGAGCTGCAGGTTGCAGTGTTTTTCATACCCTCAGCCCCAGTGTGGTCACTACCCGTTTATCTTGGGTCAGAAAGTGAATCCATGGACAGTTCTGCCACTCACCTCACTGCCAACGGGGACAGCTGAAAGAAAAGCAGAGACAGAAACATGAAACTGACCCAAACCACTCACAGGAGCAGATCTGAAATGTGCAGATCTCATTGTGGAATAATTTCCTGCCGTTTCTAACCCAGTGGCTATCCCTGAACAGATTCTTAAACTAAACACCATGGCTGTGTCTAGACTGGTCAGTTTTTCCGGAAAATCAGCCGCTTTTCCAGAAAAACTTGCCAGCTGTCTACACTGGCCGCTTGAATTTCCGCAAAAGCACTGACTTCCTACTGTAAGAAATCAGTGCTTTTTGCGGAAATACTATGCGGCTCCCGTTCGGGCAAAAGTCCCTTTTCCGCAAAACTTTTGCGCAAAAGGGTCAGTGTAGACAGCTCAGATTTGTTTTCCACAAAAAAGCCCCGATTGTGAAAATGGCAATCGGGGCTTTTTTGTGGAAAAGCGCGTCTAGATTGGCCACGGACACTTTTCCGCAAAAAGTGCTTTTGCAGAAAAGCGTCCGTGCCAATCTAGACGCTCTGTTCCGAAAATGCTTTTAATGGAAAACGTTTCCGTTAAAGGCATTTCCGGAAAATCATGCCAGTCTAGACGTAGCCCAGGTGTGCAGTTTGGTACCAGGATGGTCACTGAGGCTAAGCTGTCTTGATTTTAATGTGACTTGGTGTTCTGTTGGGATTTGCTTTTCTTTTTTATGCGCTGAGTTTTGTGATCCAAACGGCCAGTTACAGGATATCACAGAAAACATACGTCAGGATAACCCCTCGATGTCTTTACAGCTGCGTGTGCTCTCATAGAAAGCCCTTACTTATTTAACGTCCTTCGTGGCGCCCACAGCTAATTATGGGTGTAAAACTGCACCTGCAGTTACTTTGACCCACGAATCAGAGGGTACGTCTAGACTACAGGCTTAAGCTTCTGTCGACAAAGAGCGTCTAGACTACATCCAGGTCTGTCGACAAAGAGCGTCTAGACTACATCCAGGTCTGTCGACAAAGAGCGTCTAGACTACATCCAGGTCTGTCGACAAAGAGCGTCTAGACTACATCCAGGTCTGTCGACAAAGAGCGTCTAGACTACATCCAGGTCTGTCGACAAAGAGCGTCTAGACTACATCCAGGTCTGTCGACAAAGAGCGTCTAGACTACATCCAGGTCTGTCGACAAAGAGCGTCTAGACTACATCCAGGTCTGTCGACAAAGAGCGTCTAGACTACATCCAGGTCTGTCGACAAAGAGCGTCTAGACTACATCCAGGTCTGTCGACAAAGAGCGTCTAGACTACATCCAGGTCTGTCGACAAAGAGCGTCTATGCAAAAATAACCCATTTAAGTCTGTCCTGACATTTGGCCCTGGAAGTCGTGACTTTTCAGTGCCATCTTTTGGTGATAAAATAGCTCTGCATAAAGACTGTGTTTGAGGACAATTCCATGTTTGGGAGGCTGGATAGCTCTCTGGTTGGGACAGAGGACTGGATGCAGAACGGCAAAATGACTCACCTGAAGCGCACCACGTTGTTAGAGCGAGGAACACAAGGAGGCCTGTCATTGTCCTGGCGGAGAGGAGGGGGTGGTTGAATCTGTGTTGAATTTGTTAGTGCTCAGCTGCGGCGATGCTCTCTCAGGGCTCCTCTCGGATGGTGATCATGTACCAGAAGGACGTGTGTGTTTAAAACTGCATATATATACCCTTGTGTGTCCAGCCTGGCCGTCCTTATTGTGAAACACCCCTCGGGTCTGTCACTGCTCTGGTAGGCCTGCAATATTTACTGAGGTCTTGACTTTCCAGCTAATGATTCACTTTTCCTAGCTAATTGATTTTGGCTTGTCCTTTGGTTAGTAGCTTCAGACACATTTTCCTGAGCCAGAAAAATAAATCCTAGTGAGAGAGCAGAGAATGTAAGAGGGGCCAGTGAATTGTAGCGTCGGTCATGAAGGGAGAGCTGCGGTTATTCCCCAGAGAGGGATGAAGGCTCTTTGTGGCGCACACTCTCCTGATGGGCGAGAGGTTTGGAGGTTAAAGCATGTGGAGCTGGTTCCAAGTTGTTTTCACGTCCTAGCTGAGAGACGTGAGCCCTCATCAAGGTCCAGGCCCGAAGAACAGCCCCCAAGCGGGCCCCGTAAGACATTATCTCACCAACCTTCCCCCTCGATCACCACCAGAGCCCCTCGACAGGTGGCTTTGGGGACCCAGTGTGCAAAGTGAGACTCTACGGGCATGTCGGGTAGAGCGAGTCATCGAACGTAGGCCGGACAGGCCCAGCCGACGCTAGTTTGACGCCTTTCAGCGCAAGCCGCCAATGCCGCTCAGCCCCCCCACACTAAACCCAGCAGCCCACACGGGCACAAAGCGTTCCAGCCCACAGGAGGCTCCATTGCTGTGTGCCTGTGGGCCCCGCAAGGGCCGGGAGTGGCGAGGAGAGAAAGAGCAGACAATCCCAGAGGAAGATGGAAAAGTCCGGCCTGAGGGAACCTCCCTTCCCATCTCCCCATAGGATGGTTGGTTAGCGAACCAGCCAGCCAAACACCCGAGACAGGGCCTACCTAGCGTCACCTGAGAGCCTGGGCCCTCCTGTCCAACCGCCAGTCTCCAGCCGCGGACAGCCCTCGCGCTTCAGAGGAGAGATTGAAAAAACCTCCCAGAAGACACGGGGGGGCGGGGGATGAGTGTGAACATACGTCCCGTTTTGGCCGGGACAGGCCCTTTCTGAAGCCCGGGCCTGGAATCCTGGCAAAACTGGGCCTTTGTCCCGTTTGTTCTTGCCAACGGCGCAGCTGTGCCAGAAGAGCGGGGTGTGGCGCCGGGCTGCGCGCAAGGAAGGTGCAGCGGGGGGAGCAGCAGCAGCGATGCCAGACCCACACAAGAGGGTGGGTCGGGCCAGACCAGTCCTGGGTGGGTGACAGTCTTGGACTTGTCCTGGACATGGTGGGACAAGGGGATCTTGGGCCAGCCCCAAGGCAGGGAAATCCTGGGCATGATCAGGAGGCAGGGACGGCTTGGGCTGGCCCCACACAGGAGGGTCCTTGTGTGGCCCCATGGGGGGGGACATCTCATGTTGGCCTTGCACAGGCAGGCAGCAGAGAGGCTCGGGTTAGCGCCCCAGGGTGGGGGGCCCAGGTGGGTGTGCGTAGGCAGGGTGGGCTCAATCTGCCCCCCTCCCGGAAAAATCCCTTCCTGACCCTTGGAGCCGAGAAGCCTGAGCTTTTAGGAACACCCGCTAGAAACCGCCCGTGCGCCCTGGGGCTGTGGAGCTCTGCCCCAGGACTACAAGCTGCCCGGTCGCATGACTGTGTCCTGCTCTCAGCACCAGTCCCTTGTTTGCCCCGCTCAGCCAGAGCCCCCTCGGAGAATGAGGGATCTTCTCGCTGCCAGCCTGCCTTGGTTCCTGGCCCGTTCCCAGCCGTTTGCCGAGGTGCCAGCATCGTCCCTTGGCTTACCCGGCCCCCTAATCCATTTGGACTTCCAGCGTTTCTCACTTTATTCCTGCATTCGCTAACCTCCCTGATGTCGCTTTCTCGGCTGATCAGCCTCCTTTCTCCATTCCCTGCAGACTCTGTGTGCTCCTAACCACCTTTCCGAAGCAGCAATCCAGCCAGCTGCATTGGGGGCCTGTCCTTACACGTGCTTTCCCCCTTGCTCGGGTTGCAGATTTCAAATCGTGTGTGGATTGTGGCACTGCAAGAAGAAAGGGACTCTTGGAAACGCTAGTGCTGAGCTCTCCAGAGAAGCCAGGCTTGAGTGAAACTCAGCCAAAGACCACAGAAATGCCCCCGCTCGGATCCATCAGGCGAGATTATGTGCAGCCCAAGGCAGCATTAAAACATAGCGAGTCAGCATAGTTCTGCCAAGATAACTCGCGAGTAAATTGCAATGCAGTTGCATAAACAAAGGGAATATTTGCGTTCGGAGGCAGCTAAGTGGGAAAGTCCAGCAGGCACCTGGTGGTGCAGAAAACCCAGAACATGACTTACTAGACATGCAGGTGAGTTATCAAGCTCTCATTCCCTCGGGTAATGCCCAGTGGTCCCTGTACGCCGGGCACTTGTGCGGCCTCTCAGGAGAGATTCAAATCATAGACTCATAGAACATTAGAACGGGAAGGGATCTCGTGAGGTCATCAAGTCCAGTCCCCTGCCCGCATGGTAGGACCAAGCATGGTCTAGAATGATTATCCCTGACAGGTGTCTGTCTCACCTGCTCTTCAGTATCTCCAGGGATGGAGATTCCACAACCTCCCTAGGCAACTTATTCCAGTGCTGAACCACCCGGACAGTTCCTGATGCCCTGCCGATTAGCAGAGTGCCCACAGCTGGGTGTTTGATGCTAGTGGTGGTGCACATGCCTCGGTGCACTATAACAAAGTTTATTCCTCACACGGAAGGAAAAGAGCAGAGGGAACATTGGCCATACCCCCAAGCAGTGACCACCACAGGGCAGAGCGCTTCAGGGTGCCACAGGGCACCTCACTCTTTAGAGCATCAGCGCCTTGCCAGCTCAGACTGAGCAGCAAAAGACCAGGAGGTGATAAAAGCCAGCGGGTGGCCCAGATGGGGTAGGCAGCTGCCAGGAGCGGGAAGGCAGTGGGGAGAGCTGGCTCACATGGCAGACAAAACCCAGGCATGTGTCTGTGTCGTGTGGTTCAATTTATTTTAGAGGGAAACCAGGAGGCTCTAGGGAAATGTAACCACTGTCTTATTTATTGCAAGCTGTGAGCAGTGAATACAGTTGTTGAAATTATACAAGCCTTAACAACCACTGTACAATGTAACCCGTCACTACTGTACAATTCATACAGCGCAAAGCAACGCAAAAGCAACTAACAGAAGAGCTACTAGAATACAACAATAAAGCCTGGTTCACTCGCATGTCACCTGTGTGCCACCTACAGTACCAGGCAGGTGGGTGTGGTCCCACCCATCGGAGCGCCGATTTACATCGAGCAGAGCCTGGGGGTCAATCCTGCTCCCTCCCTCCCCTCGATTCTTCTGACGAAGCCCACTGGATAACAAAGCGAGACTCGGTCGTTCGAATACTATTTACCAATTGGTTACGTGTTGTGCAAGATACCTAGCCTGCCTGATGCCCTTATGTGGGTTCATCCTGCTACTCGGGATATTGCACAAAATCCCTGCGTAGTTGACAGTTGTGTGGCTGCGGCTGTAATTTTTACTTATCAGAAACAGAAGGACCCGTCCAAGGTTGATTGTCATGTGTTCTTGACGTGGTCTTGCTGTGCCGCTTAATCTGCATTATTGTGCAAAACATTCCGGCCTCCTAAAGCTTCTCCCCCGCCCCCAGCCTTACCTGCGTGCTACATGCACCAGACTTGAGACAGGCCTGGGTTTTGCTTTGTTAGAGATGAGTACTTTGGGTAAAGCAGATGTTGTTTTGGTCAAGACAGGGCCATCCAGGCTCCCCTACAAGTGGAGAACCCATGCAAGGGGGGACTTGGGCCAACAGGTGTGTGGGGTTCAGGGATCACGCAGTGCCCCCTTCCCGCTGGCAGGGCCTAAGTCCTCCACCAGCTGCAGACACTCTGCCTGGGAAGCTTGCTCAGCCCCATAAACCCTCTGAGGTGAGTGGCCTGGACAGAGGAGACCTCCGACCGATGGTTGGCTCCTGCAGGAGACGCCGGTTGAGGGAAAAGGGACGATTGTGCGGAATGTGCATCACTTGGAGGAAATAAAGCAGACGCCCTGGGAAAGAGGGACACGGAACCAGTCCCCCCCGGGCTGGGGGACAGGGCAGCAGCCTCTCCAGGATCTGGGACACAGTAACTCCAGTATCATCAGAGAGGGGGCTCAGAGCAGCTGCGGTGATACCATCAGACGAAGATCCAGCCCCTGTTCTCTCCTCCATGGTCCCTGCCTGTCCCCGTGGGACCTGAGCGTCTCCCGCATGCACGCAGCATGTGTAATGCCGGCAGGCGCAACCGAACCTGGGCCCTCCGGCGCTCGGTGCCTGCGCCTCTAGGACGCGAGCTGAAAGCCAGCGGGAGCACAGCGAAGGGTGTAGAGCAGACTCCTGGAAGTGGGCTAGGTGCCGTTCCACGGTTCAGTGCCCCACGCCCGGCGGGTGTCTCGGTTACAACTGCACCCAGCAACGTGTGTGTGTCTCCCTCTTTCTCCAAAGAGCAGGGGCGTGGCTTAGCGTTTCGTTCCACGGGAAGTGCCTGGAGGAGCTTGCAGGCCAGAGCCACGGGGGAGGTTTGCCAGGGACACTGCGGGTGCCGTTAATCAATCCGCATTGCTTGGGCTGTTATCGCTCCTGCGTGGGTGCTTGTTAGGTTCACATTCCTCTCTTCTGGCAAACAGAAGGTACAATAATCCCCAGAAATACTGCAGCCCGCTCACCTGGCACAGGCTATGCTCACTCCGCCTTTCAAGCGGCTGCAGGTTATGTACGTTGCATGTGTCTCTGCCGGCTGTTCCCCCACAACCACGGGGACACACGATGTGGCAGCCCTTGAACTGATCTCACGGAGCAGAATTCTAATAATGACGACCACGCCGGGCACGGGACTGATCTACACTCCTGTCCCCTGGCTCATTCTTCTCTTTCATCTGCACAGAGCCCAGTGAGCCCCCGGGGATCCGTTTCCCTTCCTTAGTGCTCACATCCAAGACTGGCAATGCTGCCACATTGACTGTGCAGTCTATAGAAAAGGAGCCTCCAAATCTCAGCGGGGCGGCCATGTTCGTCTGTAGCTTAACAAAGCAGCGCGCGGTCCTGGGGCTAGCCACAAGAGAACCAGGAGCGTTCGTGGGGGAAAGCCACTTCCTCGGATGCACTGGAGTGGAAATAACAGCACCCAAGAGATCTATGAATCAGCAGAAGTACCTGTCAATTGTAGGACCCGTGTTAGTGAGGCTCGGTCAGTGGGCAGGAGGTGTCCCGTACGTGGAAATGCAGATGTGAACGGCAGGAGAAATCGGCTTTGAGTCACCAAAACAAATAGGGGCCTTTGGAGCACAAGCTGAGAGGAGACGGGGAACCGCTGTGCGGCTCCGCACAGTGTGGAAAATCTCTGGTATTGGCTCACCACCAGACAGGAGTCTGCCGCCGGCTGTGCGTGCGTCTCTGGCGGCCGAGCTCAGACGGCAGACGGGGTGACTCGCCGTTGGCTGGGCCTCTGGGCTCGGAGGCTTCCACCCTGCATGGGCATCACAAGCGGTGAATTCCCCAGGGGGAGTGGTTGCTCCTTCCGCAAGTGGCAGGAGGCCGCGCTGGCGAGCACCGGGCCCAGGACCGGGGGGGCAGAATGAGCTTGCAGCGCAGACAATGGCATGTGCCGTAGTGTTGGTACCTTGCTGGTTGCTGGGCTTGGGCTGTGGGTGACCCCCACTGGCTGCTGCCTGTACCACGACCCAGCAGGTAACTGTTCTACCAGCTACCCCCCAGGGAGAGGAACAAAGGAAGGTGGAAGGCCGTCCCTGGCTGGGGGGCAGGGCTGGAAGAGAGTTAGTTTCTGTCTGGGAGCATGGAGGAAGCAACCTAGGGAAGGGGCTGGGATTTAGGGGCCCAGGCTCCCCCATCTCAAGGGGGCTGAGGCATCCTAGCCCTGCCCTGGAACCAGATTCCATCTGTGCTGTGCTGTATCCTGGAGAAGCAATAAACTCCCTCTGTTCTACCGGCTGGTGGAGTCTGTCCGTGCCATTATGGGGGTGCAAGAGACGGGGAAACCCCAACGCGCCGTCACATGGCGCGCGCTTGGTTTGGCTTGTGACTGGACCACCCCTCCCCCTTCCAGCCTCACCCAGACGCCACTGGGAGCTAGCGCCGCTCTGCTAGAAGGGCTCCTGAACCCTGATTGTAGAAGAGACTAGAGCAACCTCAAGGAACTGGGGTCAGAACAAACTTGTGAAATGCAGCCAAAGTCTACAGCCACTTCATGTGAACTTTATCCGCAGGGAGGGGTTATTTACGGACCGAGCCCCAGCTACAGGGGATCCGCTAGCGTCCTGCCAGGTTTCTGGGGGGAAAATTGCAATGAAGATCCATAGTTGCCTTAGGACACAGGTGTAGGGGAAGCGCAGGGGGTGCGTGGGCCTCGCAAACTGTCCGGAGGGAGACTGCCTGCCGGCCTGGCGCCTATAAAACACACCAAATAAACGAGTCCTGGGAGACTGAGACTCTCTCCGACACACCGTCAGACTCCAACGGGACCAGGGAGGGCAGGAGAGCACGGCCAGCTCCCACCTCCTGCCAGCTCCCGCCTCCTGCCAGCCACCCGCCTGGAATCCCAGAATGACCCCGGTAGGACTACGGCAGGAAAGAGACAGACAGGACCTAGGTCTGGGCTGCCCTTCCTGGCTGGTGTGCGGAGTCCCGGGACGCGGCCCACGCCTGGCTGTAGGGTGTGCCCCTGCCACCTGTGACATTTCCAAACACTCTCTCTGGGGCTTTCTCCCCCTCGGAGGAGTTCCCGGTAACCTCACTCTGCAAGATGGAAAACTTGGCATCCGGTAGGCGGCTGGGGCCCAGAGACACTGCCGATTGTGCTGACTCATACGCTGCTTTATTGTGCCCTTGTGCGTCCCTGTCTGGAGCTGCCTGTTGCTCCGGGCCCGACCGGGCCTGACTTTCTGTTCTGTCTGTGCAGCGTGGCCCCGCAGGGTCCTCTCACAGGCGCCGCGCGCTACAACTACAACCACATGCTCGCTTGTCAGAGGAGTCATCTGGAGACCAGGCTCTGACCCCCAGCTCCCGCCAGGTCTGTGCGACCCCACCGAGCCCTGAGACGCCTAAGGGCAGGCAGCCTCTAGCGGGCACGGAGTGCATGTCTCGCGCACCGCACCACGCTCGCCGGGAGAGAGAAACGCCCGGTCAGAGGCGGAGCCACAAAAGCAACGAGGAGTCCTGTGGCCCTAGAAAGGCTCTGGCCAGTGCAAGCTCACGTTCAGCTTCCTGTGTCACAGTGTAATCACTGGGATTGACCAGTCAGCGGGAAGGAAGCCAGCGATGTCCCTCTCGTTTCTCAGCCCCACCGGTGTGGGGTTATCCCCGTGGTCTCTGACCCACTTTGCGCCCATTTCAGTCGTCATTGACTCAGACAATGAGTCTGTGGCTCCCACCCGTTATTCCAAGCACCAGACTTGGCCCAAAGACCATCTGGTTGCCCCGTGGCCGGGAGATGGAGGGCTTTGATTCATTTGCATTTAACAGCTGGAGTGAATTGTAGCTCCCTCATCTCCCGACGTGCAGGGCATGGCCTGCGGCCACAGCCTGTCCCAGCGCAAAGAGAACCAGACAGAGGCCGGAGGCTAGACTGCTTGGCTCCAGGTGTAATACGGCCGGCTGGAACGCCTCGTCTCGGGGGCCTGTGTCTGTGCATGAAACAGGGCAGCCAGAGGGACGAAGCGTTGAATTCTGCAAGTGGCACTTGGTTTTCAGCTATTTCCCCCAGCCACAGAGCCATGTCCTGGGCTGAAAGTTAGCCGTGCAGGGGGGTCTCCATCCCCGCTCACGGTGTGGACGGTATCACTGTTTGTGGTGGCGCTGTAGCCGTGCTGGTTGCAGGACAGGAGAGACGAGCGAAGCAAAGAACTTGCCCCCTGGCTGTGTCTCTTACCCTGCGGCTTTGCCATGTGTAGAGACCCCTGTGGACCTGATGGGGCTACCGGAGGCTCCCCATGGCCGGTTATGTTAGACCCCCACATACCATTGGAATGGGCACTTGGCCCGGAGCCCGTTGACGCCCACCAGAGAGGTAGCGCCCGGAATGCCCCTTCGCCTTGCACCGGGATGTTTGCTTTCACAGCGTCCCACGCACGAGGAGCGTGCAGACACCATGCCCCTGCCCTGTGCGGTGACTGCCTCTCTTGCACGTTCGCGTTGCGGTGACAAGGGGGTCGCGCCGTTGGGTGTCCCGCGCACCCCTCGGGACGGAGCCATTTTGCATCAGATGTACAGAGCGCCGAGGGTCTGATACTGCCAGACACTGCGCACTCCCTGTACAGTACAGTCCCCTTGGTTATTATCGGTTGTCATAGACGTACCAGGACCGCCTTGGGCCAGGCACATTGCATCCCGCACAGCAGCTGGCCCCTGGAAAACCACACCTCGGAAAGCACCCCGTTCCTCCATCCGTTTGTCTCCCACACACCCACTTTACAAACAGAGCCAGATGCACAAAAGCAGGACCAGGATGCACACGTCCGGGCACGCCACGGCCCGGCACTGGGAAATGTGGCTGGCCTGCCAATCACAGTGTGAAAGAGCTTTCCCGGTGCCCCCTGTCCTGCACTGTGCACTCTCCCGGGAGCACCGGCATGGCCAAAGAACACACAGAGCCCGCCCTGGTCCCACGGGGCCCTCGGGCAGCAAGGTGAGCGCTAGGCTTGCAAAAGGGACACAGTGCAGAGGAGTAAAGTGGGGAGGGAAGGGAAGAACGTGAAAGAGCGAGGGGGAGAGGCTGAGGAGGAACAGGATGCAGAGGGGAAATGGCAAAGAAAGTCCCTTGTAGGCGGCAGGAATCACGGGTCTGTATTTCTGTGGCCAACGATAACAGAGTGAGGGCCGATGCCTGGAGCCGGTTGAGAAACGCTGATTCTTTCGGAACCACGTTTCCTACCAGTATTTCTCAGGTTTTCAGTGTAAAACCGAAGCTGAAACCCACTTCTGGTCAAACATTTTAGTAAAGACATTCAGTTCCGGGGTTTTGGCCTGGCTGAAAAACTGGAAAATTATCGTGGTTTAGTAAAGACATTCAGTTCCGGGGGTTTGGCCTGGCTGAAAAACTGGAAAATTATCGTGAAACCAGCGTCTGTGAAACTGTTTCTTTTTGCTCCAAAAGCCCTTTTTCATTTGGACAAAACAAATTCCAGCCCTCTCCTATTCCCCTGTAGCCATCTTACTGCCGCGGCTGCAGGGCTCCCTTCCCCGCCAGCTTCTGCCCACGGAGCAGCCTGCTTGTATCTGCCCCCTGCGTGAAGTCTTTCCCCATGTGCCTGGCGTCCCTGCTGCCTCTGGCCCTGCCCTGTTTGCTGCCCAGCCGCGTTCGCCTTGCTAAGGGTGGCCAGGGCCGAGGTTGCCGGGACGAGCCAAAGGGAACATTAGCAGAGTCCAGTCAGCTCCTAGATGGGTCCCTGGGGGGCCGGGCTCGGATCCCGTTGGCGCTGACCACGCCCAGAAAAGTCAGATCGGACAATGGCCTCGCTAGTGCAACGCATCTCAGGCTGGCTGCCCTGGCAGGGAGATCCACCCTGGGCCGGCTGCTGCCCGCGTCTAAACGCCATCCGAAGCCGGGGCCTCTCGACCCGCACCTGGACAAGACTCAGCTGCCCCGTGGCCAGAGGGCAGACAGCGGGGCGGAGGGAGGGAGCTGACCGGCGTGGTTCTCGTGAAAGAATCCCCTGCCTCATCAGAACCCCTGGATCTCAAAGCGCTTCACAGACACAAAGCCTCACGGCAGCCCTGCACGGTAGAGAAGTCTTTATTTTCACCTCCGTTTTGCAGGTGGGGGAAACTGAGTCACAGAGGGGTGAAGTCCCTCACCGAAGGCCATGCAAGGAGTTTGCGCAGAGCCCTGGCTCCCAGGGCCATGCTGTAACCACTAGATCACGCTTCCTCCCTTTTGGCTTGGCAGCATCCCAGATTTCTCACAGCAACTGGGAGTCCCACATAGGCTCCCATGGACTCATGTGACTCAGCGGGGCAAAGCCAGGCCCAGCTGCCCATCCTGGGGGGGGGCCAGCCAGTAATCTGGGGAGGGTACGGATCTAGTGCAGATTCAACGCGCCCCTCCCAGGCGGCCTAGTGGAGAAAAGCGACAGGCTTCTGCGGAGCGGCCTCTGTGGCAGCGGTAGCGAGGGGAGAGCGGCGGCGGGCACTTGCTACAGGGATCGCAGCGACATCGGAGGCAGAGCTGGGGGGAGACCCACGGGGCCGTCTGATTCCATCCCCCTGCACCCGAGCCAGCGCAGGACAGCCCCTGGAGAGCACAGGGCTAGGACGAGTAGTCAGCATCTCCCTGGGTGCTTCACATCAACTCTTCCACGGCTTGCCCTGGGGAGAGAGGGAGGCAGCACGCTCAGCCGAGGGCAGCGCCTCCCAAGGGGGCTGGGAAACCTGCAGAGCGCCCCGCTCGCTGGGGAATCTAGCCCCAGAGGGGCGAGGAGGCGGCTGGCTGCTGCCGTGCCGGGCTGGCTGGCTCAGGGCCGCCCCGCTCCCCAGGCATCCCCGGGTGCTCTCACTGGCCCCAACACAAGCTGCCTGGTTGCCTGTCTGGGGAAGGATTCTCCGGTCCTCGTGTTAAATCCCATCACGGCCCCCAAAGAGGCAGCATCAGGGTGCAGGGGGCTGGGAACGGCTCCCTCCAGGCTCGGCCAGCCAAGTGCCGGAGCTCAGACAAGATGGGGCTGCAGACCGGTGCCCGGCGGTGCACGCCGACGCTAAGGAACAAAGCAGAGAGCTGGGCTTTCTGCACCAGCCCTGGGGAAATGGGCTGGTGTGTGTCCTGCCGGAGGCCAGCCTAGACCATCCGCCTGGCCCCTTCTGGCTGCACGTCTCCTCGAGGCCCCTAATCACCCAGCAGCGGCCGAGCACCTTTGCCCGGGGGCTGCAGACCGGTGCCCGGCGGTGCACGCCGACGCTAAGGAACAAAGCAGAGAGCTGGGCTTTCTGCACCAGCCCTGGGGAAATGGGCTGGTGTGTGTCCTGCCGGAGGCCAGCCTAGACCATCCGCCTGGCCCCTTCTGGCTGCACGTCTCCTCGAGGCCCCTAATCACCCAGCAGCGGCCGAGCACCTTTGCCCGTACCTGGGTCACTCTTTGGCTTGGATACTTGCTGGTCTGGAGTCCTTTACGGCTGGGGAGAGAGAGAGAGAGAGAGGGGAGTATCAGAACATCGAGGTGCAGGAGCAGTGTCACGCTAGATCGGCATGCGGTGTTATTATCTAGGCTTCTGTTTGTGTGTAAACAACGTGTGCTCGGTGCTGTACATCGAAACATCGTGGCTTACAACAACAGGGTCGGGCCCGCTGGGAACCTGCCAGCTAATGGAAGATCCTGCAGCTGCAGCCTGAAGCTAGCGACAGTCATTCCCGCGGGGACACCTCCTCTCCTTTGCATTTCTGTCTTTTCTTTTTCCCTACCTCGTCTGCCTGTGTTGGGCTGGGGAAACTGACTTGAGGACACGACCAGCTGTGCAGGAGAGCTGAGACGGTCGGGGGGCAGCCCTGTAAACCTTTCCATCGTGTGCGAAAAGGGTCCAAAAGGAAAACGGAGTTGGCAAGGGGCTTTTTCTGGCCTGTTGTAAGAAAGAGAGCTCGAGGAGTGGACTTTGAGCAGCCAGTGCCTTAGGACAAGAGCACGCAGCCTGGTGTTTCTAGTACTGAGGGTGAGATGCCTCTTAACAATCTATTAATCATGTTGAAACAACAGACAGGACTAGGCAGCACGTTAAAGACTCACAAGATGGTTTATTAGGTGATGAGCTTTTGTGGGTCAGACCCACTTCCATCACCTAATAAACCATCTTGGGAGTCTTTCAAGTGCTGCCTAGTCCTGTCTTTTGTTTCAGCCAGACCAGACTAACACGGCTGCATCGCTATTACGATTAATCGTGTGTGATTGCAACGCCCAATGCAAACAGCTCCCTGGTTTGCAGTCAAGCCGCCACCGTTGTGCCTGACGGGGACCCCCAGAGCCCAGTGTGATACATACGAGCACGAGGCACAAACCAGTCTGTCTGGGGGATCTGACTGTGCAACAATCTTCACATGAGATCGGGTGACGCCAGGATCTGGCCATTTAGAGATGCTGTGAAGCCTCAGAGAAAACCTTCCCCCCTGAGTGGCACTCTCAATTGGAGCCCCCATTTATTCCCAAATCCCCACCAGCCCCCTCCCTCTCCCCATGCAGTTTTGACCCTGAGAAGGGAGCTGTTCCAGAGACTCTGGATGTTCACGGGGACTTTGCTATCACTAGTGATTTTATGTGGAAGGCGCCAGCTACGAGGGTGATGGGTGGTTAAAACAGTCTGAATCCCAGCCTAGACATAATCCAGATCTAAATCCGCACCTCCTTGCTCAGTCTCTAATTCTCTCCTTCCTCCCCTCCCCCATAGTTTTAGGGCAGCAGGTAGACTCATGTTCTGTTGTTACGTGACCAGTGTGAGTTACTCGCACTGTGGTAGTGCGCCGGGACCTTAGCCATGCACTAGCTGGTTTCGCGCAAGGCGCTGTACAAACCGAACAAAGCGACGGCCCTTGTCCCAGAGACCTGGCCCTATTCTTGCATCTGGCGTCACTTTCATTCGTGAGCAAAAGAGCTGGACAAACCTGAGCGCACACGCCGATATTCCGGATGCCAATCTCCGAGCGTGTTTTCCTGGGGAAAGGGGAGTCAGAGAATCAGATCAGACAGGGGAGTGCTCCCTGGCCCCCCTTCCTCGTGGGAGTCGGAGGTCTCGGGAAGTCAGCCCCGCACTAGCTAGTTTGAGAACACAACCGACAGGGTTCCTGCCAGTGCCCTTGGGACGGGGTCTGATCGCTCCCCAATCCCAGCGGGATTCACTCTCTCTCTTTGTGTCTGTGCCTCTGCTGGGCCCTTTGCCATCTCCTCCAGCAGCTTCGCGGATACTTTCTGTTCTCCACTTTCCCCTGCCGCTAGCAGCAAACGTTCAATCCCCGGCTTCTCTTCGGAAAAGGAAGGTTCCTTAAAGCACAAGCCGCGATCAGCTGCACGGCGGAGCTCCGCTGCTGGGACCATTACCCGGGTCTTTCTTATTTCTTGGCCCCCAATTAGGAAACCAGAGAGGCCGCCGGAGGGTTTCCCAGACAGGCAGAGTTATAGAACAGCATCAGGCGGGTGGCACGGCACCCAGTGAGGAGCAAAGATTAGCAAGTGGGCATGGTGCCAACTTCGCCTGGGGCTGCAAGAGCCAATGTACCGGTTCTGTGGGCTCATTTTAACTCTCCTAGGTGATCTGGGATCAAACCACGGGCTACTCCTCTAATGGGGGACAGGGGCTTGCAGTGACGGGCCAGTTAGAATAACACAAGGCGACCGAGATGCACTAATTCACCCACGAGCCGCGTTCTCTTCCCTCCGGCTGCCCGGGGCCATCGCACCTCACTTCTGGTCTCTTCTGCCCTGGCCGCGCACCCGAGAGGAGATACTGAGACGTCCCCCTTCGCCATGTGTACGGGGGGCGCCCCGCAGGGCGGCCTGCTCCTGCCTGTGCCGCTTTGCTCCCGAGCGGGGCTTGGGGGAACGCTCCCCTTGCAAGGAATTCAAAAGGAAGGAAAGACCCGGGCCTGGACTCTCACGGGTGCCTAACTCCCATTCACTGGCACCGAAATGCCTCTGAGGAGATGAGCCTGGAAGCCTATTCCCAGCTCGGCTGCGGGCCCCCTTCAGGCCAAGTTGCTGCTTTCTCTGTGCCTCAGTTTCCCAGCTGCAGACAGGGACTCTCATGCTCCCCCATTCCACAGGCTTGTCAGGCTCCGGGGGATCCTGGCACCGGAGGGGCGAGGGGAAAGGAAAACCAGGGTTTCTGATTTCCAGTAGGTCAGGTGCAGTTCTGAAGGAGAGGCGCTCTCAGCCGGCGGGGCCGGGACAGCGCAGAGGGTCGGGTCTGCAGCATCGCCCACCCGGAGCACTGAGACAGTGCTGCTCCCACTGGGAACTTTCCAGGATTTCTTGCTGGAGACGGCTTCAAAAGCTGCCCCGGCCTGGAGCAGAAACGCCAGTGTCAGCACGGCCCCGGGGGGGAAAGGCCACTTTCCAAAGGGCCCAAACCGCACAGCGGCTGAGATCGCCAGCAGGGAACATGCTCCAGGCAACCTTCCGCTCTGGGCAGCAGCCATTAGATGGCACCAACGGCACACGCTTGGCAGGGGCAGGATCACAGAAACCTGGAGCTTGGCCAGGAAGGGACCTGACCTCCCCTGCGGTCAATGCCAGCTGCCCCAGAGGGAGGGATCAGAACCGGGAATCATCACGTGATCCCTCCCCTGTCGCCCATCCCCAGCCTCTGACAAAAAGGGCCTAGACACACCCTCCCTACCCATCCTGGCTAATAGCCATTGATGGACCTAACCTCCATGAATGTATCTAGTTCTTTTTTCAACCCTGTTAAAGTCCTGGTCTTCACAGCATCCTGTGGCAAGGAGTTCCACAGGTTGACTGTGCTCTGCATGAAGAAAAACTTATTTTTGTTTCTTTTTAAACCTGCTGCCTGTTCATTTCATTTGGTGACCCCCCTAGTTCTTATGTGCTGGGAACAACTAAATCACTTTTTCTTATTCACTTTCTCCGTACCTGTCATGATTTTATAGACCTCTCTCATATTCCCCTCTAGTCTCCTTTTTTCTAAGCTGAAAAGTCCAAGTCTTTTTTTTTCTCTCTTCATACGGGACCCGTTCCAAACCCCTCCGCATTTTTGTTGCCCATTTCTGATCCTTTTCCAATGCCAATAGATCGTTTCATAGAATCACAGAACCATAGAGCTGGAAGAGACCTCAGAAGGCCATCGAGTCCAGCCCCCTGCTCTAGGCAGGACCAATCCCAGCTAAACCTTTTGAGATGAGGCAACCACATCTATATGCAGTATTCAAGATGTGGGCGTTCCAGGGTTTTATAGAGCGGCAATAAGATATTCTCCGTCTTATTCTCGATCCCTTTTTTAATGATTCCCGACATTCTGTTGGCTTTTCTGACTGCCGCTGCGCGCGGAGTGGAAGTTTTCAGAGAACTCTCCACAGTGACTCCTAGATCTCTTGCTTGAGTGGCTTTAGCAAATTAGTCCCCATCATTTTGTACGTATGGGATTGGGATGATGTTTTCCAATGTGCATCACTTTGCATCTATCAACATTAAAATTCATTTGCAATTTGTTACCCAATCATCTGGTTTTGTGAGATCCTTTGGAGCTCTTCCTGTCACTTCCTCAACAATTTTGCCATGAATTACCCAAGGAGTCCTTTACCCAGCTTGCTGCCTGTCAACTCAAATGACTCTACTAAAGTCACAAGGGAGGCATGGCCAACCAGCTGTTTAGAAGGCAAGGGAGCAGAAGTCTATCTCTGGCTCTGCCGCTGACCAGCTGCATGACCTCAGACAAGTCACTTAGCCTCGCTTGTGCCTCTTTTTACCAATCTGTAAAATGGAGAGACTCTCACTTTGAGATCCATCTATCAGAAGAGCACTATATGGGTGTGTCTACACTGTGGAGCTATTTTGGGATACTGGAAGTATCCCAAAATAGCTATTCTGCATCTATTGAAGCTGCCTGTTATTTCAAAATAGATTTCAAAATAACAGGCAGTTTATTCTGACATCCTGGTAACCCTTGTTCCATGAGGGTTATGGGGAATTTCAGAATAGTGAGTTATTTTAAAATTATGAAATAAGCTATTTAAAATAGCATCGAAGTAAGCTATGCAATGTGCTTAGCTCAAATTGCATGCTTATTTGGAGCTAAGGCTATGTCTGGACTGCAAGCCTCTTTCGAACGAGGCTTTTTTGAAAGATACTTTCGAAAAAGCCTCTTTCAAAAAAGAGAGTCTAGACTACAACCAGTACGTTCGAAAAAGCAAGCCGCGTTTTCGAAAGAGAGCACCCAGGCAGTCTGGATGCTCTTTCAAAAAAGCAGTGTTTGCTTTACACAGTGCCTTTTTTCGAAAGAGCACGTTTGAAAAAAGGCGTTCTTCCTCTGCGGTTGAAAAAACTGCCGCATTCTTTCAATTTACTTTCGAAAGAACGCGGCAGCAGTCTAGATGCAGGGGAAGCTTTTTCGAAAAAAGGCCACTTTTTTCGAAAAAACCCTGTAGTCTAGACACACCCTAAGTGTGCTGTGGAGACACCCTAAGAGTGTTAGTTAGCGCTAGAATTATAAATAGGCCGGGAGAGCAGCCTTGTGCAGGAGAGCAGGTGTGTACTCACAGGATTTTATCGCACAGCGTACACTCGCTGCTGTGTGTCACACCGTCGGTCCCGCACACCATCGGGGAGCTCGGGGTGCACAGCATCTTTCCTTTGGTTTGGGGGTACTGGCTGCAGTCGGCCTGTGGGATGACACAGCAGCATGCTGGCGTGAGCGACGGCCTGAGGGAACCCCCCTTCCCGGCTATCTTGGTGTTGAGAAGGGAAGGGAAGGGAAGGGAAGTCGCGGCGTGGGGAGAGGGGTTGGGTAGGGGTGTGTGTGTGAAGCTGAGCAGGTCTGGTTCCCTCTGTTGGGGTGGGACTGGGATGGGCCAGTGTGCACAGGCCAGGAGGGGTCTGCAGCCCACGTCTAAACCAGAGTCGCAGCTGGGGCCCTTTGCTCTGCGGCCTGCAGGGAGTCCAGGCTCCGGCCTGTTGGACGAAGGGGAGGCTGCCAGGCATGGGGCAGAGGTGGAGACTGGCTCCGTGGGGCAGGCCGGGGGAGTGGTGACTGCTGCTCCGCCATGCGGCTTGGTTTAGGAGACCTCTCCCTCCCGGGCAGGGACTCTCCTGGTACTTGGCGCCACACCCACGCGTGGGGCCGTTAGCCCCGACCACTACCCGCCCCCCAGGAATTCTGTCCTGTGCCCGTGGCCGCGAGACCCAGGAGCTGTGTGCCCCTGCCGGGTGTGTGCGGTGCCGTCTCACCTTGACCGGCGCGGCGTCGGCACATTCCCCCTCAGACGTCAGCGCGATGCGGGCCCCAGTTCTCCTGCAGAAGGCAGAGAGGGCCTGAGCGGGCAGGCAGGGACCAGGCCACGGACCCCTCCCAGCAGCGAGTTGCAAATTCACCTTGCGTGGCTGGTGCCCCCCTGGGCGGAGAGTGACCCCCATGGCTTGGGGAGGCAACCCCCCCCCAGAGTCTAGGCCTCGCCCTCACTGTGGCCACTGCAGGCCCCTGCCCAGCCCACCCCCCCAATGTGCCTGCCGGCCCTTCCCCCTCCCTGCCCCGGGGTAGCACCCTCAGCTTCCCTCTGCCCGGGAGCTCGCGAGAGCCAGCGGGCAGCGCAGCCGCAGCCTCCCCCAGCCCCAGAGCTCCGAAGAGCAGGCAGGAGGCACGGCTGCAGCCTGCCCCGCTCTGAAGGTCTGGCGAGCCGCCTGGCATGGCAAGGCCTCCCCGCCACCGAGCCCCCGCGCTGGACGGCCAGTGTGGCCCAGTGTTGGGAGAACAGGCTGTGCAGTGCAGCCCCGACTAGCCTGCCCCAGCCTCTGGCACCACCATGGCTGGGGGAGCGGGTCTGGCGGACTCCGGGGGAGCATGGGTGGGGCGGGTGAGGCGGTTCGGGAAGGCGACACCTTCTAGGAGACCTGCCTCCCACGGGTGCTGCCGAGTGTACGAGGACTTTTAAACCTCCGCCTCGCTGGGCTGGGAGGGGCCCCGGCCGGCCACCGTGTAAATCCTGCATCTCGTGCTCTGTGCGCGTTCCAGCGCGAGGCGCCGAGGGCCACGCCGCACGAGCCAGGGTGGAAATTGGCGCCTCACTGGCACTGGCCCTGCTCATACTCACTGCATCTCCGAGCACAGGGAACACCTGCTGCTGTAGGTCTTCCCATCACTGCCGCAAACCGGCTGCCAGGAATTCTGGCAGAGAATCGCTCCGCCCTTGATTCCATGCGGAATTTGCCTGCAGTCCACCTAAAAAGAGGGGAGATCATATCTGACGGGTCTTTGCATCTTTACCTGGGGAGACGGTGTTTTGTGATTTACCAGAACTTGAGCCCTAGTCCCCCGGAAGGAGCATCTTCAGGCATGCTTCTCAGGCGCGGAGACGCGTGTCTGAGAGCACGCACAGCAAGGCGGCCGATTCTGACCACTGAGGCAGAGCATTGTACACAACAGCCCTGCCCTCCATGGCTCCTCTGATCTACACTGAGGCCACGTTTCGATGTATGAGGTCTCCCTCTGGATCCGGCTCACCTAAAGAAGATAACAGTCTACTTCTGCTACCCGCCAATGGAGGTCTCCCTTTATTAGAGCAGCCAACGCCTCCCCAGCTCAAGCTGAATGTATCAGATTTCATCTGCGCAGGCAGAGCATGTCAGGGGACTGTTGCAGATAAGTTTGCTGGAGAAGAAACGGCTGGGTGTTTTCAGTCCTGACCTCTTGTAACGATAAGGGGACAGGATTTGACGTCTGTCTCATCTGACAGACAGCACCCACCAGATGGCAAAACCAGAAACCTGACGGGAGCCTAGCAAGCAACACTAAAAACAATCAAAAAGTAAGTATTGTGAGTTCATATGGTCACGGCTCATGGGGCCATATTGGCCGTTGTGCGTGTGCAAACCAATGCTAGTTCATTTGTAAGAGCATCCAGGGTTGTGACCGTTTCATCGATCTGAAATTGGGTCAGGAAATATAACCGAGCTGTCTCCAGCATGGCTTGTTCTTCATAACCCAGCGCTGCTCACAGCAGCTCGGAGCACAGGGGACACCCGATTTGAACAGACTCCGGTCAATACACTCCAGGACTCTGTTTCTGGCAATGACCAACACTGGATGCTTCAGGCAAAGGTCTACGAACCCCACAGCAGGCAGATGGGGCAATGTGTCCCTCACATGAGTTCTCCTCCTCCCTGATAGCTGGAGGCCTGGTGTTTTATAACTCTTCCAAAGCTTGTGTTAGCATTTGTGATAACTGTGGGTAGTCTTGGAATTCACATAAAGATACAGTCTCTTTGCGTCTTGCTAGCTTCTTGGCTTCAATGACTTCTTGTGGCCATGAGTTCCACTGTCTAATTATACACGGTGTGAAAAAGTGTTTCCTTTTCGAATCTGCCACCTTCCCATGTACATGAAAGTGTCTTTGCTCTTGCGTGCAGGGCAGGGAAGGAAACCAGCCATGTGAATCTACCTTCTCTGAACCACGTCCTAGACTTTTCTCATGTCCCCTATTCTCCACCTCCTTTTCTAAGGCCACCGCCCCAGTATTTACAGTCGTTCTTCGTGAGTGCTTAGCCAGGCCCTGAGCCGCCGCTGCCCTGCCCTGAACCAGGGACGACAGCACCCCACTCCAGAGCTAGCGAGGCGCTGTGAGGCTGCTCCTTTGCTGCTGGGTGCTGCAAGAGCGCACTTTACCGGAATGATAATGCCGTTGCCGACCCCGGGCGCTCTCCTCGGAAGCCAGGCTGCACGCCGCACTTTCCAGCCATCTGAGTTGTGCCTTCCTGTGTGCTGCAAGGAAGGGAGCGGCAGAGTGTGTGCTGGTTGCAGTGCAGCCGCTAACAATGCTGAACGCGCCCCGCACGCCTGCTCCCTGCCTGGCCCTGCAACGCTTCCAGGATCCCGTCTCCAGGCCACCTGGTTAGTACTAACACGGAACTGTCTACGGAGCCGCTTCCATCCAGTCTCGTTGGTTCTCCACCTTTTGCCTGGCCTCTTCTGGGGGCAGGGGGCTAATGGAGAAAGAAGCCTCCAATGGATGCGTCATTCTCCCTCAAGGTTACGTCAGAATGTGAGAGCGGCTGCCGTCCGGTGACACATGGCGGGGAGCGGAGCACGGGATACTCCACACGGGGCAGGCTCTGGGAGTGTGAGCAGAGCGGGGATTTCGGTGAGCCCTAGTGCCCGATTCACCATGGCCTTGCTCCTCGTGTGCCCTAGTGAGAGGCACTGTCCCGTCCGAATGCACCCGCTTCGCACTAGTGTCGGTGCTGCAGGCGGCTGGGGAAGTTCTCACCCCCCGGCGTGACCCATGCCGTTGCCTTTACCCAGGCGCAGCTTGCTCGTGTTGGGAGCAGCGGGAGGTTCCCTCTCCCTGGGCGCTCCGTACGCAGGCCACGCCCTGCACAGCCAGCTGGTCTGAGGCAGGGCCACGGATGCCAAGAGCAGGTCTCACCCACACTGGTGCAGGGATAGGCAAGACACCGAAGGGCCATCGGCCGGGACGGCGCCTCGCAGGGGAGACGGGAATGACCAGGGACCGGCTTTGGGGGGAATACACCTGCCGGAGGACACCAGGCGCACGGATAACACGGGTCAGAGCTCTCGAGAACCAGGCGGGGGACAAAAAGCAACGGGACCGCTCCAAAACCAGCCGCAGGCCCCAGCTTCAGAGCACGAGGAAAACTCCTGTCCCTGCCGAGCCCAGGGGCCTGGGAACAGCAGAGCCCTCTCCTGGCCCTGTCCTGTCGGGAGGCAGCAGGGAAGGGGGTTCTCTGTGCCCGGAGCAGTCTCAGGCGTCCGAGGGTAGCAGGGTGCGGAGCAGCCGGGGGGGCTGTGCCTTTGGCTTCAATGCAGGCGGAATCAGCCTCCGAGTGAACGAGCGTTTGCTTCCATCGGAGTCACGCGCTTTTCTCCCTCCCCCTTGTCTCTGTGTGGCCGTTAGCGGTGCAGGTCACCCCTCGTCACGAGCCGCCTTGCTAGCTACGCGGGCCTCTCCCCCCGGCTCCGCTCCTGCCATGCCACGCAGGCCAGCAGCAAACAGGCTGCAACTGGCCTTAGGGAGCGGCTCTCCCAGGGGTTATGAAGGGCACAGCGCCTTCTGAACTCGTGTGGAGTCCCCAGCATGGTGACAACCCAGATTCCCTGGATGCTGAGCCCTTAGGCGGCCACCCAGGAGAGAGTCGAATTAGCAGAGTGCCCACAGCGCCAGCCTGCGTTGCTACCATTGGTGCACATCTGCACACGCCGTGGTGCACAGAACAAAACGTATTCCACACATTGGTGACAACTAGTGTCTAAGACCAGGGCTTCAACCTGAACATCGGTCTCCTACCAGAGCAGCAAGAAACTAAATAATAAAATCAAACCCCAGGCCACTAGGCATTAGAATAAGGACCAGGGTTTCCTTTCGCGCAGTCGTGAAATTAACAAGGACTGTGCCCTGGACAGATCCTCGGCCCATGTCCTCTGGTGCCGTGTCAAACGCCCTGGAAGGTGGCAATCCGTTCCAAGCTCAGCCTCACCTGCCTCGCGGTCATCCCACCGGCGCCACTCACAGGCGGCTGCGAGTTATTGCTACCCAGCAGGACGCCTCTTTGCGCTTCTTGTTTGCTGGAAGAAAGGGACAGAGCGAGGCTGTGAGCACAGGGCTGCCTCCCCCTGGGGCCCACGCTGGACGTGAGCTGGGACAAAAAACCGCTAGAGAAACCGCCCAGAAACCCGCAGCCAGAGCAAAACCCCCAAACAAGCCAGACGGGGCCAGAGCAAAGGCCCATCCAGCCCCGTGTCCTGTTGGCCCACAGCGGCCAAGGCCAGGTGCCCCAGAGGGAGACAGAACCAGGACTCAGCCTGTGATCCCTCCTCTGTCGCCCACCCCCAGCCTCCGACACCCAGAGGCCAGGACACCAGCCCTGCCCATCCCAACTCTGCCAATTCCCTGACCCGGGAGGTTTGCCCGCCCCCCGTGAGCACGGCCGGGTGCGAGCCAGGGGAACCCCGCACTCCAGCTGCAGGTAGAATTTGCGTCAGGGCATCCCAGAATTCCGATGGAGCCCCTAGTACAATTTTGAATCCCTCCATGGTCCCTGTACAGCCGCCAACATGTCTATGCTGCCTCATGCCACCATCGTCTAACCACGCCCCAGGTTCCGGGGGCTCTGCCCTACTCCCTGAGTTTCTCCTCGCCATTCCCCCGCATGCTACATCCCGACCGAGACGATGCCTTCATGACAGTGCTGCCATAGCACATGCCCTGGGGAAGGCCTCTGGACGGTACGGAAGATGAGCGGACATCTTCCCAGGAGCTGCCAAGAGCAGAGAGAACTTGCCCTAGAACAGGGGTGTCAGGGCCGTTCCCCACTCTGGCACTTTGGGCAGTAGCTGGGGGCCTGCAAGAGACCACAAAGACCTTCCCTCTCTGGGCTTTGCATACAACTCGCCGGGATCACAGATGCACTGGCGCTGCGAGACAAGTGAACCCTGAGACCCAGGAAGGATCACGTGACCATCTTCCCAAGGGACAACCCAAGCTCTTTTGCCACAAGAACTTGAAAAACAAAACCCACAGAGAACAACCTGTGTCCAGCAGCTGCCTCTTTCAAAGATGCTCTTTCTAAAAAGCGGAGTTTGCGTTCCATAGCGCCTTTTTTCGAAAGAGCGCTTTTGGGAAAAGGCGTTCTTCCTCGTAAAATGAGGTTTTCCGCGGTCGAAAAAACTGCCGTGTTCTTTCAATTTACTTTTGAAAGAATGAGGCAGCAGTCTAGACACAGGGGAAGTTTTTTCGAAAAAAGGCCACTTTTTTGAATAAACCCTGTAGTCTAGACACACCCTGAGAGATTTAACCGAGCAACCAAACCAAAGGAAGGGACCCTGATCGCGACTAAACGCACGTTCCTCTCTCTACTCGCGCTCTGGGCTGATCTGTCCTTCAGGGTCCAGTTCACTCCCATGCCCAGTATTCCTTGTAGGCCTGATAATTCTGCCTGATTACTGCATCTTGCTGCCTCCCGCTCCTAACTTAGCACTCACACAAAGGAAAGGCAACCCCTTTTCCCATTGGCTTTCTGCCAACGCCCCCTCGCTACCTGAGTTTAACCCTTTAGTCTCTGGGCGCAGGCCAGCTCTTCTATCCACCACTGGGGTAGGGACCTTTTGATCTTTGCCCATGTGTCCTGGGCTTTTGCTGACACTCGACTGCCCCATGCTGCTTCGCGCCTGCCCCTGGCGCCTTCACAGAGGCCGAGGGACACAAAGGGAAAGAAACACGGCAGAGATATGGAGCGGGGAGCGTTAGATCAGAGCTAGTTCAATCCGGGGGGCCGCGGCCCATGTCCAGCAGTGAGAAGAAGGGGAGAATACCTCATGGGAATTGCTTCTTGGCGTGAGCTAGCCACTCCCCGTTTCTAATCAGACCCATCCTGCCGGTGTCCAATTGGCACGTGGATTCCCGCTCAGCCGTTTCCCCGGCAGTCTGGTGTGGAGGTTCCTTTGCTTAAGAAAGGCAACTCCCTCGCTGGTAACGGCGTGTCCAGGGAGGGTAAAATGCTTTCCCACGAGCGTGTGTATGTCCCCCTTCTTGCTGCCTGGTTGGCGTCCGTCCGTAGACTGTCCGGTTTAATTAGCTCTGATGTAACGCTACCGACACTGCCTCCCCGCCACGTTTCCTCCACTTCATGCGTCCGACGAAGTGCGTGGCGGCTCATGAACGCCCCTGCCATAATCAAACTGGCCACTTTTCAGGTGCCACGGGTGTCGCTGACGCAGTCCCACAGGCTCCCGCTCTGAAATCTACACCCAGGAGTGGCGCCACCGGGGAGAACGTGTCTCCGCCCTGGGTTGGAGCTACGTGAAGGCAAGTTTCTGTACTCACAACTTGTCTGCACACATGACACACTTGTTGAGGTGCGAATGTCCAGAAGCATCGCACACCGGTTCATTCTCTTTGGTGCAGATCAGCTCTCCTTTGGCGTTGAGTTGGGGCAGAAACTCACTGCAGTCAATGGCCTGCAGAAGGGAGGAGAACATCTTGTGTAAGATGGCTCCTGGCTTCTACTGGCTGAGGCGCTGCACACATTGGCTTCTTTTCCAGGAATTGCATCATGCATAAAACTCCGGGGTGTGAATGGAAGAAGGGCATTTAATACCAATCAACGCCCAGTATCTGCAGAGGAGGGTGCGTCAGAGGGATGCCGAGTTTCGCTGAGTTGGGAGCGCATGATGGGCCTTTACTAACATGGTGTTGCTAATGATGGCCTCTTAAAAATACGTGTGATCTGATCGATCTGGGATCCTGCCCACACACTTTTCCCAGCTCTTTTAACATGCAGTGGGAGTGGCAATAACAATTGAGCTTAAAAACAGTCCCCGAGCTGCCCGGACATTGAGCAAATGATTAACGCGGATTAAGAAGCAACAATTCCATGGAAAAGCGCAATGCGACCCACCAAACCAAGCACGCACACGCCCACAAGAGGTGTCATGGAGCCGGGTGGGTAAATCTGGCCGCTGGTCTGAAACACTGTTGCTGACATCCCCACTAAATCCTGGTAGATGAGCCAGGCATGATTTGTCCTCCACGGACCCACGCTGCTGCTCCCTCATCTCCCTCTCTCATTCAGCCATTGCAGCTGGTCTGGAATTCACGGGATTTCCTCCACTGCTGTCTCCAGAGCTGGGTCCCTTTCGCTGCCCTCCAGGGCCGGATTTATGCATGAACTCAGCGAGCTGCAGCACAGGGCCTCAGATTCCGAGGGGTTTCCAAATACGACGTTCCGAATGTCAAGTTTTGGTCACGCACTGGGGCCTTGTGACAGGGCACCGGCCCTGCACTGGCCCTTTAAGGGCAAAACGCAGGCCCGGAGCAGGGGCCGGAAGCAAAGCCCCAGCAGAGGCTGTTAGGGCTAATGAGAGCCCAGCTGAGGGCTATAGAAAGAAGCCCAGTTGGCTTGGGAGGGGAGAGCAGGGAAGAGCTGGCAGCAGAGAAGCAGGAGGCTCCCAGGAGGGAGAACAGACTTGGGGTGGCCGGACAGGCTAGGGGAGCGCTGGCTAAGGCATTTCCTGGCTGGGGGCCTGCGGCTTGGAGGGTGGTAGCAACGCCCCAGGTAAGCGGGGCAGCAGAGATACCCCAGTGCCGGTGAGGAGCAGCCCAGACAGACTGTAGCTTGCCCAGAGCTGGGCTAGCTGAAGCCAGTCTGGGTCACTGAGGCACGGTGGGGAGCGCACCCCCTGACAGGCCTCTTAAACTTGCCATGGCCTGGGGCCTCGGCGGATCTTACCCCGGCCTGGCTCCCCTCCAACCATCCTGCTCTGGTTTTATGCCCAGGTCAGTCGCTGTATTCTGGGGGTATCCCATTGCTCCCCGCTGGCTGTTACTTCTGAACAGGGCTCCACCCCGGGCTGTGAACGAGACCCTCTAAGTCCCTCAATGTTGACTGGGTTCTAAGTCAGGCGGAAATGAGAGCGTCCCACCCTTGCGAGGGAACACAGTGATGGGGGAGCTGAAACCGCAGGTAACCAACCCCACGCCGGGCCTCGCCTGACAGAGGAGCAGTCGGCTTTACCTCTAGCATGTGAATTTAGGAAGGAACGCAGTCTGCTAGAATACTCCCTGTCTGGCTTTTGTTCTGCCCTGGGGTGTAACAATCACCACGTACAACACTAGAGGATTACGCTGCAGAATCCTTCCGGCTTTCTGAGATCTATCAGGTTCTTAACTAGTAACCTCTGAGCGCCACACAATTGCTCTTGTACTTATCTGCCCAGCGCTGCTGTGACTGAGGGCCAGGTCAATATCCCCATTTCACAAATGGGGAACTCAGGCATGCAGAGACTAAGTGACTTGCCCAAGGTCACACAGAAAGTGTGTGGCAGAGCCAGTATTTGACCCAGGGTCTGCTGAGCCTCAAGCTGTCACCATTGGACCATCCTTCCACTCTCAGGATCGCAGCTGGCTATGCTGGGGGAGTTTAGACTAGAATTTGCATGACACAGGTTTCCCCCTCTCCCTTGTGAGTGTTCAAAGCACTGGACACTTTGGCTATGTCCAGACTACAAGGCTCCATCGACAGAGCCGTGTAAAATAGTTTATTCGGCATAGGCAACAAAGTGGGAATTTAAATAATCCCCGCTTCATTAAAATAAACATGGCTGCCGCGCTGTGCCGACGAACCGCTGATCCGGCACAGCAGGGCAGTCAAGACGCGCTTCCTTTGGGTGCTTTGCAGCAAGCAGGGTAACCTTTAGCCTCACCTTTTGTGTCAGGTTCCTGTTGGTGTTCCCTCTGTCACCCAGCAGGGCATCTCTTTGATTCACCCTGCAAGAAAGAGAGGCAGTGAGCCACAGGGAGTTGCTCCAACCTCAGCGGGAAAGCCAAGAGCACCACGGCCTACGACTCTCATCCCGCAAACCCGCCCTAACTTGCATGATCCACGGAGTCTGGCCCGAAGGGAGCTGCCCACGCTCTCTGCATCCAGAAAGCTCGCCGCTTTCTGCTCCCCTCCTCACCCTAGACACTTCTGCCACTCGCGTTCAACAGCAACTTTCCCTTCCATGGCCCATCGGCAAAACAGGCAGCTAAGCACAAGCACTGGTTTTTTTCTGGGCGTGCCCATTGTATTCCCCTACCCCTGCATGGTTGGCGTGGGAGGGAAGGGTGCCAGGGTTCATGGGGGTCGGTTTTGGGAGCTGGCAGCTAACCTCTCTGAACTGGGACTCAGAGGTTGTAGTATGTCCCTCTGCCAAGGAGCTATGGCATAGAGGGGGAATTAAGCCCTGCAAGAGTAGGTCTGAATCCGGAGGAGAGGCGGCTTGGGAAACAGCCCATCGAGCGGCACAAGCTGCGGCGTGAGCGACTGACGCAAGCGCTCTCTCTCGTACTCACATCAGCTTTCTGCACATGATGCATTTGTTGGAGTACGTTGTGCCGTCGGGGCCGCGGACGGGGTTGTTATCTCGATGGCAAAGAAAGAGCCCGCTGCGGAACAGCTGCCACAGCTCCTTGCACTCCTCCTGCAAACGGGAAAACAGGGCGTTCCTCTCTGCACTGGGCGGGCGTCTTAGAACAGCCCCCGGGTAGACGGGTCCATCGGCTGTTCAGTTTGGAAAGGAAAAGGCCAAGACAGGGGAGAGATAGCTCAGTGGTTTGAGCATTGCCCTGCTAAACCCAGGGTTGTGAGTTCAATCCTTGGGGAGGCCATTTAGGGACCTGGAGCAAAGCTTGTCAGGGATGGTACTTGGTCCTGCTATCAAGGCAGGGGACTGGACTTGGTGACTTTTCAAGGTCCCTTCCAGCTCTCAGAGATAGGTATCTCCCTTCATTATCATTATAGGGGACACAAGCAGCTTTCAAGTATCTAAAAGGGTGTCACAGGGAGGAGGGAGAAAAATCATTCTCCTTGGTGGCTGAGGATAGAACAAGCAGCAATGGGCTTAAACTGCAGCAAGGGAGGCTTAGGCTGGACATGAGGAAAAACTTCCTGCCTATCAGGGTGGCTAAATGCTGGAATAAATTGCCTAGGGAAGATGTGGAATCTCTATCCCTGTTTCAAAACAAGTTGGATAGACGTCTATCAGGGATGCCCTAGTCCAGGGCTACTCAACACATGGCCTGTGCGCTGCATGTGGCTGGCAGCCCATTTGTTTGTGGCTCAAGGTGTGGTTTGGATTTACATGGGGCTCAGCACGCGGCCCGCGGGGGAGCCAAAACAAACAGTCAGTATAGTGGTATTCTGGTGATCTGCATTTTTGTAGTTAAATCCCTGGACGGTCATTGCTCATTCAAAGTGCTGTCGTACACGTGGAAATGGAAATGGGGTAACTTGCATTTTATTAATAGCAGCAGAACTGACTTAAATGGGGCCTGCATGTTGCGTAGTCTGGCTTTAATCTTCGTATTCACACCCATCAGTGTGAAATAAGCTATTTGCATATATTTGCATATATATTTGCATAAGTATTTGCAACCACACTTAAGTTGCGGCCCTCGGCATGTGCTGTGAGTATCATTGTGGCTCCTGGGATCTCCAGTGTTGAGTAGCCCCGGTCTAGACAGTGCTGGGTCCTGCCGTGAGGGCCCTTCCAGCTCTGTGACTATGACTCTGTCGGGGATGGAGGACCGTAGCCCTTTGGAGGCAACAGCCCACTCTTGCTGTGTCTTAGGAGCCAGCCCTGATGGCTAATTACCCCGTCGTTCGCTCTTTCCGCCACTTGGCCAATATGAAGAACTACACAGGCACAGTGGGTCCAGAGAACCAGGTTTCCTCACTGTATGCAACGTGCATTGCCAATCTGCACACATACGCTGCTGCTCCAGCAGGGCTCTGCTGGCTTCTCAAACATAGTGCAGGCAACGGGAAGGCTGGTCCACCAGCTATTGAAAGGGATACGTCCCAGTTCCTATCGCTTTTGAGAGATGAGCGCATGCGGTTCTATGGCCCAAACAACTCACCCACCTGCCAGTTTGAAACAAACAAGAGGAAGTTTTTCTTCAATCAGCACACAGTTAATCTGTGGAACTCCTTGCCAGAGGAGATTGTCAAGGCCGGGACTTTATCAGGGGTCAAAAAAGAGCTGGATAAATTCATGGAGGTTAGGTCCATCAATGGCTATTAGTCAGGGTGGGTAGGAATGGTGTTCCTAACCACTGTTTGTCTGGAAATGGGTGACAGAAGAGGGATCACATGAGGATTACCTGTTGTGTTCCCTCCCTCTGGGGCATCTGGCACTGGCCACTGTTGGCAGACAGGATACTGGGCTGGATGGACCAGTCTTATGTTCAGTTCTCATGCACTGGAGTGGAATGGTCTAAAAGCAGCTAGGGGAGAGGAGGTCGCACAACCAGGGCCCAGCTGAGGCCAGACATGGTTATCCTAACAGAGCAGAGCAGCCAGCACATGATGCACCGCCGAGAGATGAATTTCAGCAAAGCAACCAAGCCCCAGCAAGCTAGAGCACCAGCCAGCGCCCTTACCAGCCAACGGCTGGGAATGCAGGCTGCATAAAAGCAACACTCCAGCTAGGTATGCTGGCAGATTCCTCCATATGGAAGTGGGGTTTTACCGGTGGATAAGCCAACTAGTCCATGTAAAACAAGGACTGAGTGACTCCGCTCAGATAGCAAATCAAATCATTGGTGGAGATTCCAAAAAGGGGGGTTAAATGTTATGGGATTTAATGTTCGCCAGCATGGGACTCTGGTTGGATCAGAAGCAAAAGCTCTAAATTCCATGAGAAAAGTGTCTTGCGCTCTTTTGACATGCATCTCATTAGATCTGAGCCAAATATTTCCAGATACGCATCCCAAAACCTGGCTGTGAGCTATACCCTCTGTTAATGCTGCACGTTCCATCTCGGAGGCTACGTCTAGACTTCATTCCTCTGTCGACAGAGGGATGCAAATCAAGCACATCAAAATTGCTAATGAAGCCAGAATTTAAATATCCCATGCTTCATTAGCATAAACATGGCCACCGCTTTTTTCGAAAGAGTTTTTTTGAAAAACGGCAGTCTAAATGCAGCTCTGTCAAAAATAAACCCTTTTTCGACAGATCTTGTATTCATCAAAAAATGAGGCTTACAGGAGCTGTCGAAAAAGGGTTTATTTTCGACAGATCCGCGTCTAGACTGACATTTTGAAAAAAGCAGCGGCCATGTTTATGGTAATGAAGCGTGGGATATTTAAATTCTGGCTTCATTAGCAATTTTGGTGTGCTAATCTACATCTCTCTTCGACAGAGAGGTGTAGTCTAGACATCCTGAGAGATGTTTTGTCTCAGTTCTACACCACTGGGATGGTATAGATGATTGGGGGGAACATTTGGCTCTTTTAAAGTCGACCAGGCCTTTTATTTTAGGGATGTTAACAAGCTAATTTGGGAAACATCTCTAACAGGAGGTGGACTAACCTGTATATCTTGGCTGGCATCACCTATGAGAAAAACACAAACGCAGACACAAACCATGAAATGTCAGGAAGCCTGAGGAAAATTGAAGATAAAGTATTTCCTCCTTAACTGCAAATAACGGAAACTATTGGATGAGGGATAATCTAGTACACAAAGGAGCCCAACAAATGAAATCTGTGAGCTTCATTTTTCATGGCATGAAGAATTTGCCACCCCAGACCCCTATTTAGGTGCCCCCCCCCCCCCATGCGTTCGCTCTCTTTTGCAATATTTGTATGTGTGTAGAAGCAAAGAAAAGACACTTCAGTTACTGCTTAGCCGCATGAGACTCTCAACACTTCGCTCCAACACCTTGCCAGGGACACCAGCCTCTGTCAGATGTGGCTGTTTCACCCACAAATCTTTTCTCCCGCACTTCCACTGAACCCCCCGAGCTAACCCATGAGCCTCCACTGCCTTTCCCTCCAATTCCTCCTCAAAGCCCACTTGGACGGCATTGCCTGAAAGAAAAGTCAACCGATCGTGGCTCAGCAGGGGCGGTTAGGAATCGAGGATAGAAGTATCCCTCTGCCACATCATTGATAGCCATCGGCTGTTTCCTTGGCATCCCGGTGAGCCCCCAAGGAACCCGCCCGTGCCTCCTTTTCACGAGGAATGGGGGTACGGTAGAAAAGTTAGCGCCGCTGCATCGGTATTGTACTTAACATTCCAGTGTCCCCAGGAGAGTCTGGGAAAATACATTCAGTGTCCACCGGAGCTAGGGGAAAATTCCCGTTTTCAGGAAGTCATACAAGCATCCCCAACCACTTCTTGTTCGGGCCTTTGGGTTCCATGTACAAAAATGGAACCACCTTTCTTTTCTCTTCTCTTCTTTTGTTTGTAATTTGGACAGCCAATTGTCCTCTTGCCACAAAGTATTCTACCAGCAGAGCTACTTTAGCCCTACCCCAGCCACACGCCACGGGTGTTATTCCATCATTTTCAGAGAACAGGGCAGTCACCCCGGGAACGTCACGCATGCTGCTGATTTCACACATACTCATCAGAACCCCAGTTTTCTTACAAAGCCAGAATGGTGGACCTTTCCCCTAACCTTGCTCTGGTTCCCTGAGGACACGCCATTTCTCCAGCTTGCCGACATTTTAACCTCCTTAAGGAAGCACCTTTTCCTTCGTCCAAGCTTCCTAGGAGTCGGAGTGTCACTTCTAAGATCCTGGGCAGATTACAGCCAAAGTTACTCACCTGAGACGCAGCAGAGACATGCCAGCGCTAGGAACACAAAGGTACCTGCCGTCTTCATGGTAAGAACACTGACTGCCGGCCTAGGTCTAGTTTATTAGCAAAACTCCAGCATGAGAGGTTGGATCATACCTATATAGATAGCCAGATACTCCGCCTTGATTGTGACATGACTTGCCCAAGAACTGCAAAACCAGTTTGCGGAAGGGAGTTCCAAATTGCAGTGATTCCATTAACACCCTTAATTTCCACAGGGACAGAACCTGGGTGAGTCATGCCCTGGATCTTGTAAAAGAAGGAAATTTACAAACAGCTCAGGTCAATTTCGAATACAGAAGGAGGCGTCTCACCAGGGGACACTGGGCTGGGTGGTGAGTGAAATCAATGTGCTCAGCAAGGCCCCTCCTTAATTTGCCGGCAACAGCTGCTGAGGGTTGTATTTTGAGGCATTGGTTCCAGTGATGTAAACACGAGTTCGGATTCTCGGTCAGGCCACTAGTTTCGGGGCCTAGGAATGAAGCAAGTGCCTCGCTAGCTCGAGGGGGCCCAGGTGGAAAATGCTGGACTTAGTGCCTGGCCGAACGCAGCAGGGCCCCTTCGGACAGTTCCTAGAATTCGCACAACTGCAACACGAGGCAAAGGGCCTGCAGCTCCCGGGGAATAGCCCTTCTCTCCTTCCAGCCACGAATGCGGCTCATGGCACACGGCAGATCCCACGCGAGAGCTGCCCTCTGAAGGGCCGTGTCTTCCTCAGGGGATGCTGCCGTGGGATGCGGCAGGAGCGGTGACATCTCGGGCTCCTGGAGGGGTCACAGGAAGATGATGCCGAAGCTCATGCGGGGGAGTCCCGCAGAACGGGCGAGGGAGACGCAGGCTGCTCTTGGCGGAGGGGAGACTTCGTGCGACAATCTCCTTGCCCCGCCCCAAGAAAGAGACGGCTCGCACGGAGGAACAATTAGCCCCTGGTGATCTGAAGGGTAGAGCAGCCCTGGTGCAAGGAGAAGCAGGCCAGGGCAATTGGAGTGGGCTTGACCTAAACCTAGCAAAGAAGAGGGCCAGGGAGCAGCCAGTTATTTCTGGCGTGGAGACCCTGGGGAAGAAATGCCAGTTACAGCTGAGGCATCAGCTCTGCCCTGTGCCCCGTCACAACTCAGCACTGAGCTTCCCGTCGGGTCCCTCTCGCACCTCTCACGCGGAGCTCAAAGCGAAGGGGAGTCGTGTCCCCCAGCCGGTTTGCAGGTGGGGAGCCAGGAGCACTCCCAAGGTCACACCAGAGGTGACGGGACGTGCGGAGGAACCAGTCCCCTCTTCCCATTGCAGGGTCTGAGCGCCTACCCCAGCCCGCTTCTGAACCCCAGCAAGCCCCGGACCCAGGGGAGCCAATCAGAGGCTGCTCACATGGGCACTCTGGGACCTGAAAGAGAGGGATCAGTAACGCCACGTTTCAGACAAGGGAAGAAAAGCCACCTGTAATTCTACCCACAGATACAGTCAAATCCAGAACATGATGATCCCAAACTGCTCAAGATAGTTAAGACCAAAGCAGACTGTGCAGAGCTTCACAAAGATCTCACCAGACTCAGTGATTGGGCAACAAAATGGCAAATAAAATGTTATGTTGATAAACGTAAAGTAATGCTCATTAGGAAAAAAGAATCCCAACTAGACATACAATGTAATGGGGACAACTACTCGAGAGAGAGATCTTGGAGTCGCTGTGGAGAGTTCTCCGAAAACATCCACTCAGTGTTCAGCAGCCATCAAAAAAGCAAACAGAATGTTAGGAATCGTTTAAAAAGGGGTAGAGAATAAGACAGAGAATATCTTATTGCCTCTCTATAAATCCATGGAACGCCCACATCTGGAATTCTGTGTACCGATGTGGTTGCCTCATCTCCAAAAAGCTATATTAGCATTGGAAAAGGTTCAAAAAAGGGCAACAAAAATGCGGAGGGGTTTGGAACAGGTCCCGTATGAAGAGAGATTAAAGAGACTGGGACTTTTCAGCTTAGAAAAGAGCAGACTAAGGGGGGGATAGGGTAGAGATCTATAAAATCATGACTGGTATGGAGAAGTGAATAAGGAAAAGTTATTTACTTATACCCACAATATAATAACTAGAGGACACCAAATAAAATTAATAGGCAGCAGGTTTAAAACAAACCAAAGGAAGTTTTTCTTCACTCAGCACACAGTCAACCTGTGGAACTCCTTGCCAGAGGATTCAGTGAAGGCTAGAACTTTGACAGGGTTCAAAAAAGAGCTAGATAGATTCATGGAGGATAGGCCCATCAATGCTATTAGCCAGGATGGGTAGAGATGGTGTCCCTAGCCTCTGTTTCTCTGGAGGTAGATGACAGGGGAGGGGTCACATGAGGATTCCCTGTTGTGTTCCCTCCTTCTAGGGCATCTGGCATTGGTCACTGCTGGCAGACAGGACCCTGGTCTAGATGGACCTTTGGTCTGACCCAGTCTGGCTGCTCTTACGTTCTTATTGAGTGTAAAGCTCTGGCCCCTTTCCCCACTGATTTCAATGGGATCAAGGTCAGCCCCTGGCACAGGGATGGGCAATAATTTTCACAGAGGGGCCATGTAATGAATTTTGGTACATGGCCACGGGCTGGCTCCACCCCTGGAAGGGGCAGGGCCTGGTGGGGAAGGGGCAGGGCCTGGTGTGGAAGGGGCGGGGTCTGGTGTGGAAGGGGCGGGGCCTGGTGTGGAAGGGGCGGGGTTGGGGACTAGCCTCCCCCCAGAGGTGTCTGGGGATGGAGGCTTTGAATTAAACACACAGCAAAGGACTCCCAGCTCCCAGTCCCGCTGACCACTGAAGGGGAAGGAGCTCCTGCCAGAGCTGAGGAGTAACCAAACCTGCAGGATCAGCCAGAGCGGCCACACCAGCCGGACCCTCAGTCACCACCGGAGCCGCTGTCTGAGCCGGAGCGGCGGGGAGCCCACGCCACCCCCCGAGCCCGTTGCGGGAGCAGTGCCTGAGTGATCGGGGGCCATGCGGCTCTGGTCACAGGGCTGGAGGAGCCTTGTGCAACACTTACTGCCTGATGCCACAGAGGTGTGGGCTGAACCGGCATCAGGACTCCAGCCTGGCCCACGCCTGGGAAGGCAAGGGAGAGGGCTGCACCCGCGCGGGGGAGGTGTCCGATGGGGAACGAGCCCGTTGCGGGAGCAGTGCCTGAGTGATCGGGGGCCATGCGGCTCTGGTCACAGGGCTGGAGGAGCCTTGTGCAACACTTACTGCCTGATGCCACAGAGGTGTGGGCTGAACCGGCATCAGGACTCCAGCCTGGCCCACGCCTGGGAAGGCAAGGGAGAGGGCTGCACCCGCGCGGGGGAGGTGTCCGATGGGGAACGACAGGGCGTGGAGATGGAATCCCAGTCGCCATCGTCACCGCCACTCCTGGCCTGGAAGAGGAAGTAGAGCACACGACCGATGCTGAGCAGGATGGAGCAGCACAGCCCGGAGCGGCCTGGGGCCAAGGGACGGCGAGGGCGTAGAAAAGGAGGCTGAGAGCAAGACGTGAGAACCAGAGGGAGAGGAGAAGGCGCACACAGGGGTGGGAGGTGATCTGCAATACCCACGGGCTGAGGGAGAGACGCCTCAGTGAGGGAAGGCGAAGTTGTAGTGGATAAAAATACCCGGGGCCATTTGGACTGCAGACGGAAAGCGCCAGAAGCTAACAGGGCCCTCTCCAGAGAGCTCTGTTTGGCCACACACTCCCGGAAAGATACTCTTTCTTCTGGACACCGCATTGCCAGAGCGAGATTATCCACCCTAGGGAAGTTCAGAGAACAATCGAACAGACAGTGGCCACGCTACCTACAGACAATCAGCCATGCCACTAGCTCTGTGTGCTCTCAGCCCTTCCCCCATGACACCTCCACCCTGGGCCCCATTTCTCTCTCTCCTCAATCCCCACATCTGAAGGGTCGACTGTGTTAACCCAGCATGACCTGCCTCAGCCAGGCCAGAGAATTGCTGCCCAGAAGTCCTTGCAGCAAGCCCATCCTTGCCTCATTGCTTCCTTGCTCCCCACGTCTGTCTGTGCCCAGCAGCTGCCTAGGGTTTGTCCAGCACCTCGCACAAGGGGACCAGGTTCCAGGATCGGGGCTCCTAGGTGCTCTGGGACGGCTAATTATTTATATCAGAGATTTGTGCATCTGTCTGTCTGTCTGTCCGTTTGCTCAAGAACCCCTCCTAAAAGGGAAGAGCTGGAGCCGCCACATTGGGTAGGCAGCTTCCTCTTCTCCTAAGTTAAAGGATGGTGACTCGGGGTTTGGTCGTGCCCGGAAAAGGGGAGGTGCCAGGAATGGGACTGTTTTCCATAACACGGAAAGGGAGGGGCGCCGAGCGGAGGGACGCAATACTGAGAGTGGCCACTGGGGGCAGCTGCACCACCAAGAGTGGCCAGCTGGGTCTGGGGCTCTGCCATCCTGCCTGCCAGCACACCAGTAAATCCCTCCCGCCCAGCCCTGGGCCACAGCGCTGGGAGGAGAAGGCCCCTGGAGGGCTGGGGAGACAGAAGACCCCAGCGGATGGGGATCTAGCTGGGGAGAGCAGAGATGGCCCGTATTGATGGGGGGAGAAAAAGCCCTGCCAGATGGGACCCCCCGACCCTGAGTCCCTCCTCACTGTTGCACCCCCACATCTCCTAGGCCCTGCCCTGACTCCTGCACCCCCACACGACCAGCCCCCTGCCCTGAAGGGCCTGGGCAGCACCGGGTAAGTCTTGCAGTAAATAATAATGGTGACCACAGCAATCAGTGCCTTGTGCCTGACCTAGAGCGTGGGTCTTCCCTTCATACCTGGGCCTGTGGCAGCCCCGCCCGGCCGCCAGGCACCGGGGCCCGCCACACCCTGGGCCTTTGTGCAGATCAGACTTTGCCTGGGGGCAGAGCGCGTCAGGCGGCGATAGGGAAGTGGCGCGAGGCTTTGGATGATGATAGTAATAAAGCTCCATGGGACCCATCTTCAAAGCGCTCGTAAAGCTCAGTCAATCCCTTAAGTGTTGTTATCCCCGTTGGGCAGATGGCTCAGATAGCCACAGCTGGGTCACACCCGCCGGGGCCGGCTCAGCTGGCAGGCTGGGCCGGTCCCACGCGTCA